TCTACAGAGAAGCACCACTGCAGCACACAACAATCACCCAGGAGTGAAGGGCTCTACTCCAGACATTTAGTTAGATGAAATTCAGGATAAGGAATCCTGGAGAAGTGTATCAAAAAACATTGAGGCACTTGAGAGGCAGTGTTAGAACGAATACAGGGGCCAACCTGGGCTACACTGAGACGTGTCTCAAAAATAAAGCAGAATTAAACAGAGAGGAAGCTGACTAGACTAGATCAGGTAGCCAGACTTTGAGGTTTGAAGGTAAGGTTGGTGAGAAAGCTTACAGACAGTAAGAAAAGAGAGGACGACAAAGAGATCATGCTAGATCTCAGACACATAAAACAAAGAACAAATCCCAGGCAGAGGTGGTGCAGACAGGCTGGTATCTGAGTTCAAGGCCAGTCTAGTCTACTGAGTGAATTCACACCACCCAAATGGCTACTCACAGTAAGTTCAGTTCTCAGAAGACCCCATGTTTCTTTCCAGCCTCTGTGGGCACCAGGCATGCATATGGTGCATTTGCACACACAATGGCAGAACATGCATAGAAGTGCTGAGCATGAAGTAACAGACACTGGAGGGTAACTTCTTCAAACTATCCCACAATATACTGAGACTTGTCTGCAACACTATTCTATGAGAATCACGCTGGTTGGTTCTAAACTCACCAAAGGACATGACCAAAAAAAGAAAACTATAGACCAATATCTTCAACATAAAAATTCTCAAAATACTTGCAGACTCAATTTAACAATATTAAAAAGGTAATTAAGCATCAAGATGGTTTAATCCCAGGAATGCAAAGAGGGCTCATTATGATTTGTTTTAAATCAGTAAAAGTAATACAGAAACCAAAGACTTGTAATTCTAGTAGCACCTGGGAGCCCAAGACAAGGTCAGGTCAGGTTCAAGGTCATCTGCAATCAGACCCCAGCATGGGAAAGCGCACCTTATATCATCCCAGCACTAGGCAGGCAGAGACAGCCTCATTTTCACAGCAAATTCCAAGTCGGGCAGGTCAGCAGGATTGGACAGTGAGACCATTTAAACATATATGCATATGTATTTTTCCTATTTATAGAGCATATGGTCCTATATTTAAAAAGACCCTGAAGTCTCTAGGAACTTTTAGACCTAATAAATTCAGTCAAGTAGCAGAATTACAAAACTAACATCTAAAAACCAGTAGCATGGGACCAGCAAGACAGGTAAGCCTGAGATCCACCTCAGATCACACGAACTGACTGACTTAATCAGTCCTCTGACCAACACATGCACACTATGGCATGCCCATACTCAAAAATATATCTTACACGTTAGTGATAAAATCTTTTTATTAAAAAAAAAACAGTATTTTTATATAGTAATAACCTATTAAATCTCATTCACAAATCTAAAAAAAAAAACCTAGCAACAAACCTAACCAAGGAGGAAGATTCTATAACATAACCATGCAATACACAACATAAGACACTATCAGAAGACTATTGTTAAAATGGCCGTATCAGGCCAAGTGTGACGGTCCACGTGTTTAATCCCAGTATCCGAGGAAGCAGAGGCAGGTGGATGAGTCCCAAGTTAGCCAGGGTTATGTAAGACCCTGTCTCAAAACAAAAACAAACAAAAATAACAAGTCATATTACTGGAAGGAATCTACACGATCAAGGTAAAGAATGGAAATGAGAATGGAGGGCCATCAAAGTCCACACATGTATTAAAATGTCACAATCAAACAATATCCTTACAGTTCTAACAGTCTGACAAGAGGCATGGCCATCACTAGTCATGCCCAAATACATGTATAACCTTGACAATGGTTATTTTAGTATTTTTCAACACAAGGCTTCTCTTTTAACAGCCCTGGCTGTCCTAGAACTTGTCTTGTAGACCAGGCTGGAATTGAAATCAGAGATCCGCCTGCCTCTGCCTCCCGAGTGCGGAGATTAAAGGCGTGCGTTACCATGCCTGGTTGACGAGATTATTTTTAACATAGGCACAACTGTGGAAAAAAAACCCAAATATTAGTTTATAAAAGCTAAAAATAGTCAAAGAACTAATGAGATTAAGGTTAATAAAAAACAGGTTTAAGTCAAAAGGACAGAATCCATTTCAAAACTAAGCCTATTATCAAACTATTGGCTGTTTCTAGGAACACATTAGTAAAGTCATTGCTACCCCAAAAGATACCACCACCACAAAACCCAGGTGTAGTTCAGAAACAAGCAACGCTCTTTATTTTTAAGACAGGTTCATGTTAGGCATGGTAATATACACCTTTAATTCCAGCACTTGGAAAGCAGAAGCAAGTGGATCTCTGTAAATTCAAGGCCAGCCTGGTCTATAGTTTCAAGACAGCAAGAGCTACACCGTTTGTCTCTAAAACAAAAAATCAAAACAGAAATATCAAAACAAAACAAGATTGTTTCACTATGTAGCCCTGGTTGGCCTGGAACTCAGTGATTCACCTGTCTCTGCCTTCCAATTGCTGATATTATGTGTACCACGCCAGGCCGAGTCAAGGTTCTTAACCCTAGACACACTTATGCCCAAGCTCTCCTCCAAATAATTTAAAATCTCTATGGACATCAAGATTGAAATCCACAGAAATAACTATTGTTTCCAATGAAGCCAGGTCATTCTGAAAAAGAGCAGAATCGACTACAACAACAAGTATTTACTATGTAGCCAGGAGGGGATGAAAAGATGGCTCAGAGGCTAAGAGCACTTGCCGCTGCTCCAGAGGTCAAATCTCTGAAGCCCTAGGGGATCTGGTGCCATCTTCTGGTGTCTGTGGGCATCACACTGATAAATGGAAACAAATGTCAGCCAAGAAAAGGGAAGGCCTTTTGCATGGGTCAGAAGAGAAATAAAATGTCTCCCAATGTTTAAATGGTATCAAGAGGCTCTGAGGCCCTACTACACAGGGTGACAACCACATCACTATCCACTCTACAATGCATTGTAACAGCTAGGACCAAAAAAAAAAAAAACAAAACAAAACCTGCTTGAGGCATACTTAACCTGGTACCCTTTTAATAGGATAGTTTTTATGTTTTAAATAAAAATATGCATATTTCTTAAAATATTCAAACCCAACAATGAGATTTATAAATTCAATTTCAAACTTTTTAATTAAAAAATGCATTTACCGGGGCTGGAGAGATGGCTCAGTGGTTAAGAGCATTGCCTGCTCTTCCAAAGGTCCTGAGTTCAATTCCCAGCAACCACATGGTGGCTCACAACCATCTGTAATGAGGTCTGGTGCCCTCTTCTGGCCTGGAGACATACACGCAAACAGAATATTGTATACATAATAAATAAATATTTTAAAAAAATGCATTTACCTTAAAAATTATGTGTGTGTATGTATGTATGTGCATATGAATGCTGATGTCCACAGTGATTAGAGGCACTGGATCCCCTAGAGCTGGAGTTAGGGGCAACCATGAAGCTTCAGATGGGGGTATGGGTCCTCTTCAAGAACAGCACCGGCTAGCTCTTAACCATGGATCCGTCTCTCTAGCACCCATTTTTTTTTAAACATCTGTGTATGTGGGTATACACATCACTGCTTTTTGTGTACAGAGGTCAGAGGACAACTTGCAGGAGTAGGTTCTTTCCTTCCACCATGTGGGTGCCACAGAGTGGAGTTTCAGCCTTCAGGTTTGGTGTTAAGTGCATGCCTTTATTGTCTCACCAGCACTGAGGTAAACAAACTTCTGTCCGGAGTACTCAGATTCTTAAGTAGAGATTCATCATCTGCCTCCAAAAGGGGTCAGATGTGTGCCATCATACATGACTTTTGGAGCCGGAACCCAGGACACAGTACATGCTAGGCAACCGCATTACCAACACACTATAGCTGTAGCCATAATACTTCTTAAAAAAAAAAAACTTGTTTTATTTTATGTACGTTAAGCGTTTTGCCTGCAGGTATGTACACCATGTGTGTGCCTGATGTGGAGGCCATAAGGGAGAAACGAGATCCTGAAGCTAAAGTTACAGACAGGGGGGCTGGAGAGATGGCTCAGCGGTTAAGAGCATTGACTGTTCTTCCAGAGGTCCTGAGTTCAATTCCCAGCAACCACATGGTGGCTCACAACCGCCTGTAATGAGATCTGGTGCCCTCTTCTGGCCTGTAAGCAGGATATTGCACACATAATTAAATAAACCTTAAAAAAAAATAAAGTTACAGACAGTGGAGAATTGATTAACCGCTAAGCAGCTCTCCAAACTCCTTTCTAACTCTCATTTTGACAATTTTTTTGCTCTTAATCGAGAAGCTTAAAAAATTATGGCAATTTCATTATAGTACCCATTAAGAAATTCTCTTAATTTCCATCCAACTCTAATTAGATTTTTAGAAAAAATGATGAAGCTCACACATTTTATTAATTTTACAGTCAGATTAAAGTATTAACATCTTTAAAGTTTAGATGGGAAGCCTAGTAATTTGCTCCAACTCACAATGATTTGGAAATCAACCCATCTTTGCCACAAGCCCCATTCTGAGAATTTATATGTAGCCGACACTTGTCAACAACAGGACCCCGACTCCATTAGAGCCCATCTATCACTGTCAGGTTCCTCAGAAGCCACTTGGTGTTCATGCCACTTTATTGTCAGATCAGAAGTACGTAAGTTGGGCATCGTGACATGTGGAGGCAGGATCACCCATGAGTTCCAGGACAGCTTGGTCTATACAACAAGTTACAAGTCACTCATGGTCACACCGTAAGACCCTGTCCCCCTGCTTGCCCCACACCCCAACCTCGTCTTCTTTCTTTCTTTTTTAATAAAGTACTGTACATAGATGTTATTTGTTTGGCCAGGAAGAAAAGACAAACTAGCAAAAATAACAAGCTGGAGAATGTGTTTTTTCTCAGAAAAGATAACCTAGAAAAACCAAGGGCCTTTTGATTTGGACAATTAACTCATAAACCGATTTGTTTATGCAGGGCAGTGTTGTAACTTCACTGTTGGTTCCAAATTCAACACAGTACAAAGCAAGGAAGCATTTATTTACCACACTCACACAGCAATGATTACGCATCCTGATGTCTGCCCAAATATTCAGTCCCCGCAGAAGAACTCTTCGTTTTCTATGCCAAGTCAAAGAATATAAGGGAAAACCTGCTGATCACAGCACTCAGGTACCACTCTCAGGTCTGGGACAAAACACAAACCCTAACCCAAAAGTTGGCTCCTACTTGGCTTCACTGATTTACCGCTTAAGGAACTTAACACAGGCTAAGGCTCTAACAGCTTATCTGAGACAAATTTAACTCTAAGATCACGACTTGACAAGAAATGTACAAATGTTTGTTAAGAACTTACCATTCTGTCAATCATTTTAAAGAGTCATGAAATATACATAGCAATATATTTATAACCAGAAACTACACTATTAGACACATCATTTAGTTTGTTAAGTTCTACCTGAAAACATGCCATTTTAAGTAAAATCCTAAAAACAAACTCTTGAGTTCTATGGTTAACAATCAAGTCCTACTGAAGCAGCAGATTCCTTTCACAAGCGCAGGCCAGCAACAAGACAAACTGCAATGTCAGACAAACAAGTCCCCAAGTTCTTCTGAAGAACGCCAAGGAGTTGCCAGAGAGGTTACACAGTGGCCTTGATCTTTATTTTTCTTTACCTGGAATTCTACAAATTCCGAAATCAATTGATTTATCTTGTGTAATAAACAGCACCAGTCGTGCCCACTGATACAATCCAAAGCTGACTTTCTCCGTTCTCAAGTTTATTATGAAAACACTGCGGTGACTGTGCAGTGACGTCATCTTACAGGAGGGGAAACAGTTCTATCCAAAACAACTCACCAGGGTTTCTGACAATAACAAAGAACAACGTGGGGCTGAGATTGGAGAAGGGAATAAACCGAGTGCAGACAAATCATACAATTAAATTAAATGGTATCCCTGAAAAGAAACAAGAGGGGAGGCCTTGGTACTTATTTAAAAATGTTCATTAAGCTCCAATGATTGTTTGCTATCCTCATCTACAGTCATGCGGAGTAAGCTACAGCTAAGTGGAAGTCAACTGGACTCACGGGTGTTAATGTTTACATCCTATTTCTGCAGTCTCTCAAGAAAGCAAAAGTAACTACAAATAGCGCTATGCCAGAAACTGGATTCTTGACCAACAATGTCGCGTCAGCATGCAATGAACTGGTTCATTCTAAAGTGGTCACGGCTGTTGATGACAAGAGGCTTTGTATTTTTATATGGCACATCTTTTGGTCCGTGTGAAAACAAGTTTTTTGAATGTTAACTATTTTCTGACACTTTGAAGTTACTGTTGCTCTTCCCATTTCCATTAGGTCAATATACGGTTCATGGCAATACTGTACAAGTTTAAATTTCCATTACAGGAAGTAGTCTGGGGTACGACGAGTGACATGTGGCTCGCCTCTACGAGGTGCTGGATCAAACTGCAAGCTGAAAAACAAAATAAGGTTCACTGTTTCTATTCTAAGAATACACCATGTATTTATTAAACCGTCCATTTTTCAAATGTTAAGGTTTATTTCTTAACCAATTTCAGCACATTTTAACGGGTTCAAAGTTGGGCACCGCTGTAACACCAGCACTTGGGAAACTGAGGCAAGGGAATCACAGTTCTAGACCAGCTTGGGTTATAAACATAAAAAAAATGAACCCAACTTTGGACCCCAGTTCAAGTTGTTAGTTTATTTTTAGGGGGTAGGGGAGTGTGCATAGTCAGTTTTAGCTGTCAACCTAACACAAGAGTCATCACCTGGGGACAGTTTAACTGAGGACTTGTCTGAATTAGGTTGGGCTGTGGGCATGTTTGTGGAAGACTGTCTTGATGACAGATGTAGGAACACCAAGCCCACTGTGGCCATTACCATTCTCTAGACAGAGCTAACTGAGCCCAAGTAAGGACCCACACATTTATCTCTACTTTTTTGTTTTGTTTGAGTCAAGGTTTCTTAATACAGTGCTGGCTCTGAAACTCTATATAAACTAGGTTGGCCTCAAATCCACAGAGATTCTCCTGCCTCTGTTGGAATTAAGGTATATGGCACTACACCTAGCTCTATGCTCTTGACCGTGAATGTTATTTGAGTAGCTGTGTTGTGTTCTTGCCTTCAACTTCCCTTCAATGGTGGACTAGAACTTAGAACTGTAGCCTGAACAACTGTTCCCCCTAATCCCAAATTGGTTTTGGTTAGAGCAACAGAAAAAGTAGTCAAGGATGTCCTTAACCTCCTAAACCTCCTGCCTCAGTCTCTCAAGTACTAAGATTAGAGCTTTGAACCTATGTTCTAACTGTACTCCAGTCCTAGACACTACATTTTCATATAATGGGGCCCCTTCTAATAAGATCATTTAAGTGTCTAACACACTGATCTGATCCATAATAAAAACATGGGTTTAGAAATTGAAGACCACTAAACTTAATGGCAACGGCCTTTAGGACCAGCACTCGGGAGCCAGAGGCAGGTGGTTCCCTATGAGCTCAAGGCTAGTCTGGTCTATACAGTGTGAGTTCCAGTGAAAACAGAGCTATATAGTAAGACCCTGTTAACAACAACAACAACAAGAAATTGAAGACCTAATAAATCAATTCAGTCTGGGTTCCAAATAAGAGAAACTAATTTCTGTTACGTGTAGGTTCATTCCCATGAAAACGTAAAATCAACCTGTAATATGGTTTAACAAGAGCTGGAGAACAAGCAGCTCTAGCTCAGGCAGATACTTACAAAGAATACTTAAGAGTGTCATCAAGTTCCATGATTGCAGCTTGGTTACCGCAACGATAGCAATAGTTTGGAGCACTGAAAATTGTTACTACATTCCGGTCATGGCACCAGTTATATCCCTGTAAAAGAGGCAGGGAAAAAAAAAACAAAAAACTATAAGACAGAAAAATGACAGTTCCTCTCAAAAATGGTTAATTTTTTGTATTATTAAAAAACCTGTAAAATGTACACGAATATATTTGTTATGGCTAAAATGAAAATATAGTTTGTTTTTAGCATTTAAAGCCAGCCAAACATGGTGGCATATACTTTTAATCCCAGGAGGCAGAGGCCGGTGGATCTGTGAATTTGAGGCCAGCCTGATCAACATAGTGAGTTCTAGGACAGCTACAACTATGTATCAGAGAGATCATATTCCAAGAAACCAAATAAATAAATTAAACAAGCAAACAAAGCCATTTAAAATAATATCCATCACCAAATATTAATCTGCTTCTTATATAGTACGTTTCTATAAATCTTTCATTTATATGACCTTAAACATAATTTTAAAATGAACTTATTTGAGACAGGGCCTCACTGTGCAGCCCAGGCTGGTCTGGATCACAAGGCAATCCTGCTTCAGTCTAACTAACAAGGGTGCAGGCGTGTGCAGCCATACTTGTCTCAGGATTAGTCCTGACAACACTTTAGTGAAGAAATTGTGGTAGCCCATGTTTTAAGAACCCTAGAGGGGCTGGAGAGATGGCTCAGCGGTTAAGAGCATTGCCTGCTCTTCCAAAGGTCCTGAGTTCAATTCCCAGCAACCACATAGTGGCTCACAACCATCTGTAATGAGGTCTTGTGCCCTCTTCTGGCCTGCAGAAGAATATTGTATACATAATAAATAAATAGATATTAAAAAAAAAAAAAAGAACCCACTAGGAGACTTCTTTCCCATCACCTACAGTCCAGGCACCCAAAGGACTATATCAATGCTTTGAAGTTCCTTCCCTTTCCTACACACAGACATACTGAATATGTATAAACAAACACAATTGCACTTTATTATACCCTTCTCTATCTCTACATCTGAATCCTCTCACCATTAGATCCCAAGTCCCTCCAAGTAATTAAGAATCTGAAGATCCGCCAGGTAGTGGTGGTGCACACCTTTAGTCCCAGTATTCGGGAGGCAGATGGATCTCTTTGAGTTCGAGGCCAGCCTGGGCTACACAGAGCAAGCAGATCAAGTACCAGGACAGGCTCCAAAGCTACAGAGAAACCCTGCCTTTAAAAAAAACCAAACTAGAAACAAACGAACAAAACCTGACGATCCATTAAATATATACACCACTATCATCATAAACCTGACTTTCATTTGACTGCACACCTAGGGAAAAGGATTCAGCTCCAGTGGTAGACTCTATGGGAATAAAGGACTGTCATTAAAAAGTTAGTCTGACAAACTAACTTTTTCAAAGAAAAGAACATACCTCCATTACCAGCTGGTGAGCTCTGGACACCAACGTGAGGCCATTGGCATGATTAAATGTCTCAGAAATATCTTGGCCAAAGGTATAACCAGCTCCTCGAGGAGATATCCCCCAGCCACCACGGTCGTCTGGATCTGACCACAGTAAGTCACACATTGGACCCTAAAAAGCAGGTACAAGTTATAAGTTGACTCTTACAAAGTGGAAATTCTTGATTTGATAATTCAACAGAAGCCACACTCCAAGTGCAAATCACTTTTGAGTGGTGTCTGCTAGCGAGGCATGACCTTTGCAGTTAAGCTCTCTCTGAAATGAGAAGCGCTTCTAACAAGGCCCAGTGCAGAGCAACAGGTGCGCTCCATCAGTAGATCATCCTATAGGTACACCAGTGCACTTTCACTGTTAGGCAGCATGGGCTAAGAGCAACACCAGAGGCTTCTACATTTCTTCTGAGAAATACTAAGAAGGCTCATGTGTCACTTCACTTACAATCTGAGTTGACACACAATGAATTAAGCTACAGTTAAACCATTTTCCCCTTTCCTATGGTTTCTGAGATTTATCAAAGAGAAGTCATACCTCATGAGGAACTTCTTGTAGGCGATCAAGTGCTCGGATGTGATCCAGTGTGTCTATGGACGGTGACAGACCACCATGTAGACAGAAGATCTAAAAAGATGGATTACAAATGGTAACTATACCTAGAGAGAAATTAAACTATTTGGGGGCACAGTTCAGGCAGGAACTTCCACCATTTGGTCACATCAGTTTTTAGGCCCTCTCCATTTCAATGAGGCTTGACTCTCAAGAGTTGGCCATTGTTCTGCCCAAGCCCCAAGCACTGAGTATCCAGTCTTCTTCTTTACCAATTGTCATGGCTGAGGCTCCTTCAACAAGGAGTCTCTCTAACCTTACCCTACTGGTAGTTACCTTCACACTCAGAAGTTTCGCCCAAGTTTGTAAGTACACATCTACTAGCAAACACCTCTTTTATGTCTCCTAGACTCCTCTACAAACAGCACCCAAAGCTGAATGGGTTATACTTTCCACCCCCACAGTCCCATTTTGTACAGTTCAGTACCTGATACCAAGGAAAAACTTCAACACTAAGAAAGCAGTAACTGGAAAAAAGGGAAGCAGCAGCGAGTTTAAGGCACACGCACCTGCCCATCCACCAAGGCAGTGAGAGGAAGGTAGTCAAAAAGGTCTGTGAAGTATTTCCAAACGTTTGCATTTCCATATTTCCTTAAACACTCATCGTAGAAACCATAAACCTGTGTGATCTGTCTGCTCTCATGATTCCCTCGGAGTATGGTGATACGCTCACGGTAACGAACCTACAGTGAAACAGACAGACAGCTAGCTCTTTCCCAAAACAAAACAAACCAACTGACATTTCATAAAATTTTCTATAGGGAAATCCACAGTTCCAATTTTGAAGGAAAAAAAAATTTCTACATTTCAATGAACTGAAACCATACATTATAAACTTTTTGTTTGTTTGTTTTGAGACAGGGCTTCTCTGGAACTCACTCTGTAGACCAGGTTGGCCTCAAACTCAGAGATCAGCCTGCCTCTGTCTCCCAAGTGCTGGGATTAAAAGTGTGCACCACCACATTTGGTGATCATAAACATTAAAAAAAAAAAAGTATATCAAAATCACTTCAATTAAAACCACACTCCCTATACCATCTTGTGTGAAAGGTTTTTCTATGACCTTTACTAAATTTACAGTTAGGCAACAATCACAACACCAAATTTTAGAGCTTTGCATTCCTTACAAAGATCTCATGCCTATCTGCAATCCTTCCCCAGCTCCTGACAACCACTGATGTACTTCCGTCTTTTGAGAATGCCTTTTCTAGACATTTAAATTAAGTGAAAAAACGACGGAATGCAGCCTCTTGTGATGCATATGCCTTGGAGAACCACCCTGGAGTCACCAAGCTGCAGCGTGGATGGGGACGCACATCTTCACAGGGTGGCCATGTGCCATGGTTTCCGCACTTGCTCGGGTCTTCCCATCTATTAGCTACTGAGCTCATTTGCTCGCATGCTTTCTATTTCTTGAACATATTCCTACAGTGTAGTGTATTACTGCTTTATATCCAACTTCATCAGAATTCTTCAAAGTGGCCGGATCATTTTACATTCTTGACAGGAATGGACGAGGTGTCTAATTTCCTGACATATTCATCTATGATATTTACTGTAGTCACTGTATTAGTAAAAGACACGAATTAGTTGGTATATGTGACTTCAGTGTAGATTTTCCTAATTACTTACAATGTTAACTATCCATGTCCTTACTGACCATCTATCTTCTAGGCTGAAGTAGCTGTTCAGGTACTTTGCCCATTTAAAATTAGATTATCTATCTAAGGTTAGGCATCCATGCAGACAGATTTCTTGAGACAGGATCATGCTATAGTATGATCCTGTCTCAAGAAATCTGTCTTAGCTGGGTGATGTTGACGCACATCTGTAATCCAGACCCTCAGGAGGCAGGTGGATCTGTGACTTTGTCAGCCTGAGCTACAAAGCAAGTTCCAAGACAGCCAGACGGGTACGGAGAAACTCTGCTTCAAAAAACAAAAATAAAACAACAAAACTAACAGAAAGAAAGAAATCTGTCTTGACATGGCCGTATAAGTTTATAATCCCAACACTAAGATGCCTGCAGGGCAGTCTTGGTTGGATACCCTGTCACCTGTAAAATAAAAACCCAAACAACCCCCACAAACCCCTTCTTATTATTAATAGGCCTAGTGTGGGCTGGTGCAATGGCTGAGAGTAAAGGAGTCTGCCATCAAGCCTAATTTTAAAATTACATTCATTTTTGTAAGTGCATGTGTATATGTCATTTTATTCTGCCCATGTGGGTTCTAATTATCAAATTCAAGACATTAGGTTCCGTGGAAACTGTCTTTACTCAGCCATCTCACTGGCCCTGATTAGTTATGCCACAAAACAAGTCATGGCTACATTTCATCTCTTACCTATCAATTTGCTTTCTAGGACCCATAAGGTGAAAGAACTGACTTCCATACTTGCTTGATGGCATGTATGTACGTCACACAGTTAAATAAAATTAACAAATAACTGTAAAAATGTTTTAAATTTGAAGCGAGGCTATAGCTCAGGGGTGAACCTGTGCTAGCATGCGGGAGGCTGAGTTCAACCAGAAGCACCAAGAAAGTAATAATTTGAACAAATGCTTCTTATTTGCAGCATCTTTGAACTGCTCCTCCTGCCTCCATTTCCTAATTGCTAGAATTACACGCATATATTATCACACTTATAATACTGTGCTGGGGGTCAAATGCAGGGCTTTCTGCATGCTAACCAAGCACTCGAGAAACTTGGCTGCATCCCCAGCCCTGGATTATCGTTCTATGAACACAGCTGAGAAATCAGAGCCTAATCAAGAGCAGACTTTTTTTTCTTCTTAAATTTATAGCCTCTGCTATTCATTTAGGCCAACAATCTGTTCTGATGCATTTGAAAAAGGGCCGCTTTCCCCATAGTGTCGTGAGTTTAACAGTGAGTCCATACACTACAGAGGTACCCTTCCTCAAGGTGTCAGTAGAGCTGGGGTCTCTTAAAGTCGTCTCTTGATTTAGACAGCAGTTTTCTCATCTTCTTCCCTTTGTTCATATACACCTGGAGGCAGAGGACAAGCTCACGCGTTATCCTTACAAATGGTCATCTGCCCCCTTGGAGACAGCATCTCATTGTCCGGGAGCTCAGTTAGGCTAGCTGGCCAGTGAGCCTCAGGGACTCTTTTGTCTCTACTTCTTCAGGGTTGGAATGTCTCCATGCTTGGCACTTTAAAAAATGGGCTTTGGGAATTGAACTCAGGTCTTCCAACTGCGCTATCTCCTTAGCCTCCTAATCTCCTTTTATAGAACTACCCATATAATCTCGTTTTATTTAACTATTCATGTAAAGGGCTAGCACCAAGTGCAGCCACACTCTGAGGTTCAGGGAATTAAGATTTGTGCCTATGACATTTAGGAATACACAATGCAGTCTAGTCTTTAGTATATAAATTTTCTTGCTGTTGTTTTTTGAGACAGGGATGGAACCTTTGCTGGTGGGCACTTTATGTGTTAGACAAGGCTACCCTTGAACTCAGAGTTCAGTTTGCCTTGGCCTCCATAGTAGTACTGGGATTAAAGTAGTGTCAATCAGGCCCAGTGGTACATGGATTCTTAAAAGCAGCCCAGCCCTTTCACATGAACCTGGGCTACCAGCTTCTTATCTATAGTCACTGTACAAAGTGCCCACCGTCTACTCTAAACGCTCAGTATTCTCAGCACTGTAAATGCTCATCATCAGCTCTAACTCTGACCACTTCTCTACGTTAGAAAAATTGATGACAGCAAATTTCTTGTTCAGAATATTCTGCAATAAAAAAGTGAGTCTGTTGCCTAGGAAGAGCGGTAAACTTTCCCCCTGTAAGGTAAAATCAAACAGCTTCCTAAGGCAGAGGCAGCATTCGACTCTAAATCAATGCCAATGTGTTTCAGCGTTGATTCTTCACCTCTACATTTCAGAGCTACAAATGACAAGGACTCTAAAATTTGCTTCTCTTCTTATATTTTTTTAAAAGATTTATTTATTTATTAAGCATACAATGGACTGCTGGCAAGGAAGGCACCAGGTCTCATTACAGATGGTTGTGAGCTACCATGTGGTTGCTGGGAACTAAACTTGGAACTTCTGGAAGAGCAGTCAGTACTCTTACCCTCTAAGCCATCTCTCCCAGCCCAATTTGCTTCTTTTAATTATTATTATTTCTTTTTTTTTTTAAAAAAAGAAAAGGTCTTATTATACAAACCAGGCTAACCTCAACTCTTAAGGCTTTTACCTGAGCCTCACCAGAGCTGACATTACTGCCTTCATTTCTCATGTTTAATTGTTATTACTCCAAGGGAATAAACTTTTTTTTGATTTTCGAGACAGGGGAATAAACTATTGTTTAGGTATTTGCTCAGTCTTGTACACTAAGATCAAATCTCTTTTCTAATTTTTTTTAATATTTATTATTTTTATTATGTATACAATATTCTGTCTGTGTGTATGCCTGCAGGCCAGAAGAGGGCACCAGACCTCATTATAGATGGTTGTGAGCCACCATGTGGTTGCTGGGAATTGAACTCAGGACCTTTGGAAGAACAGGCAATGCTCTTAACCTCTGAGCCGTCTCTTCAGCCCGCTCTAATATTAAAGACAAAAAAATCTTCACTTAATAACCTGATCTTTTTCTCTCAATTCTTCCTTCACATTTTCACAGGACTGTCAAATGATGTAAATAATCCAACATAGATGTTCAAACTCTCCGAATACTTAATGCAGTCATATTATTTCCATTGTCAATGTACTAAACTAAAACTTGTACTTGATTAGTTTGCCAGTCACAGCACTTGGAGACGGGCAGGCTACAAACTCTTTGGGTTTGAGGCCAGCCTGGTCTACATAGTGAGTTCCATAACAGTTAGAGCTGTATAGTGAGATTCTGTCTAAAAACAAACAAACAAACAAAAGACCCCAAGGTATCCCATGGCACCGTGTTCTGAACCACCTTCTGGCCCTAATGCAGACAGGATGATTAAGTTTGACACTCACATTCTTTGCATTCCTAATTAGGCATGGAAGTTTGTTCTAAAATTTAACATTCAGATGAAGAGAACAAATCATGGTAGGAAAAGAACATTCCAGAGGGCTTTCACCCAGTTCAAAAGGTCCAAACAGAAAAAGTAAAATTACCTTAAGAGCTACAAGCAGTGTAACTGTTTCAACTGAGTAATATCCTCTGTCCACATAGTCTCCCATAAACAAGTAATTTGTATCTGGTGATTTACCACCAATTCTAAAAAGTTCCATGAGGTCATGAAATTGCCCGTGTACATCTCCACACACAGTGACTGGACATCGAACCTCTTGCACGTTGGATTCCTTTGTCAGGATTTCTTTAGCCTACAAAGAAAAAGTAAAGCAATACATTCAGCATTAAATGACATCAAAAAAGATGCTTTGTTTATATTAACGTAAAGGGCGAACCTGGCAAATATGAAACCACAGGCATTTGCAACCCAAGATAGACATTAAAATTGTTAATTTAAAAATTTGCATTTTTTGTACCGGTTGGTGGAGGCGCACACCTTAAATCCCAGCACTCAGTAGGTCAGCAAAGACTGTTATATAGAGAAACCCTGTCTTGACCTCTCACCCCCAAATCTATTTTATGTCCAAGTTCTCATTTCACCCATGTGTGTCCTAGTTATTAAATCAATGTCCTCAGGTTTACTGGAGAGACTTAAGTCACCTTACTAGCCCATTGGCTATATTTAAAAGACAAGATATGGTTAGTTTTTCCTTTGGCTACCTTGTGGGAGATGTTTAGAGAATATGTACCAAGTTGATATTCAATCATCACTCTCAATTTGTAAAGGCTACCAAATTTCCATCTCATTAGAGACTGAAGACATTAGTAGCACCCACACAAGATGAAAACGACCAGAAGGTGGGCTGGAGAGATGACTCAGCAGTTAAGAGCACTGGCTGCTCTTTCAGAGGATTCAAGTTCAATTGTAGCTTGTACCTATTTGTAACTCCAGTTCCAGGTAATCCAAACCTCTTCTGGCCTCTGAGGGCCCTGTATGGAAGTGGGACAGACATACATGCAGGCAAATATGTAAATTTGGAAGAAGAAGAAAAAAGAGCACTTAATGTTGTCTCCTCAGGCTGAGATTTCTTGGTCTTAAGAGATTTAAATTTTTCTTTCATTTCATTCTATTTTTTTTATAACAATAAAGTTCTTGTTTTACAGTTAGAACACTCAATATAGCATACATGCTTTTTAGGCTGCTTTTAGAAGCCATCATCAGGGCTGGAGAGATGGCTCAGTGGTTAAGAGCATTGCCTGCTCTTCCAAAGGTCCTGAGTTCAATTCCTGGCAACCACATGGTGGCTCACAACCATCTGTAACGAGGTCTGGTGCCCTCTTCTGGCCTGCAGACATACAGACTTAGAATATTGTATACATAATAAATAAATAAAGTTTAAAAAAGAAGCCATCATTCAGCCAGATATCCACATATGCTAAAAATGTGTATACCGGAAGACAATTATCTGCTAAACCATCTGAATGACTCTGCCTTGTCCTAGGCACTGGACATAGGTGTACGAAATAGGTCATTTCCATGGCAAAGGAGAAGAGAAAGGCTGTAAGCAAGCAAGGGGGAAAAGAAAACACTAAATGAACAAAGTAGACTATCCCAAGTATCACGAGGAAGGGGAGACCACTTTAAATTAAGACACATGATCAAATGCCCATACTGAAATTTTGCTACCCAGCAATCCCAGCATTCAGGGCCAACGCAGGAGGCTTGCCACTAGTTCAATGTCAGTCTAGACAATTACAAGTGTCTATCCTCTCTCTCAAAAGAATCCTCCCCCAACACACAAATAGAGAACAATGTTGCTAATGAACCAACTGGTGACAACCAACATTACCACAATTTAAGGCTACACATTTGAAACATGGATCTCTTCTTTCTTCCCCAAATTTGGTTGCAATCTTTGGAAAATAGAATCCAAGTCAGTAACATTTATTTTCCTTCCCACACCTACCAATGCTGTCCCAAGTACAACGAACCATGTTCAAGAATCACTATTTTCTATTCTCCAAAGGCTTGGGGAGCCTATTTCCAGACACTCACCAAGTTTAGAAGAATATTTTCAGTTTAAAAAAGAAATGGGGCTCTTCTATTAAACAAGATCTTATGATCAGGAAATGTGGAAGTTAAAATGCAATCTAAACAATGTGGAAATTCGGGGAAGAATGCAATCTTTGGGGGGTCATTAGCACACTACCAACACTCAGTATGTTTGGACTCGGGCATCTCACAATTTCATCCCTAGCCTGATGTAAGAGACCTACAGACAGACTCTTTCTTCTCCACCCCACCTGTCCCTAGACAGGGCTTCACCCTATAGCCTTGGCTGTCCTGGAACCCACAGAGATCCACCTGTCTCTGCCCCCTGAGTGCTGGGATTAGATTAGAGGCATGTGTCACCATGTTTAAATATGGGCTATTCCAACCAACATATCAAATAAGATGAAATGAAAGCAGGATTATGTGAACTAGGTTTTTTAACTCATCCATGGCAGAATTGTTCAAGGAAGACAGTAAGAAAATTCCAGTTAGGCAGTGGCGGTGGCAGCTGGGTCTTTGTAAATTTGGGATCAAGGGTCTACAAAGCAAGTTCCATGACAGCCAGAGCTGTTAACACAGAAACCCTGTCTCAAAAAACTACACACAAAAGAAGTTAGGAAGGAAGAAAGGTCTCAATTATTTACTCATCACTTCCTTAGAGATACATAGTATTGTCATGTCAGTTAACTTACACTGTAGAAAAAGTCACCCATCCATTTAAGTTAAACACTTTAGTAGAACAGGGGCTCTCAACTACTAATGCCGTAACCCTCTAACACAATTCTTCATGCTATAACCCCCAACCATAAAATCATTTCATTGCTACTTTATAACTATAATTTTGCTACTGTTATCAACTGCAATGTATTTGATATGCAGGATAACTGATATGAGACCCTCCCCCACAAAGGAATTTCAACTCATAGGCTGAGAACCACTGACTTAGAAGCATAAGACCCCAACCATGTCAAAAATCCTTTTATCCACTTATGTATCAAGCTACTCATCAAAATGACACAGAAATCACAGAAGTTATTCCTGCCATATCTAAAGTCAAATCCATGGCTTTGAAAACCAAAAAGGCAGTGCTGAGACGTCCATGACCATGTCTGTCACTCACCTTCCCCTAACTTCCAGCAGACCAAGAAGCCAGTTTTACAGGTTGTCAAACCCTCAGAATGCCCCCATAGAAGCAGGCTTGTCCAGTAGACAATCACCAAACTCCTTTTAAGCACAGAATCAACCAAAAACACCAGAAGACAGACAACATACTTGTACTCACTGGAGATGTCAAGGCCCAAATAAGCACCAAACTCAAAAGACCCCAAGGAGGCAAAACCCCACATGGTCCCACTGGGGGAAGGTTAGGTTCAGTTGCCTCCTGATCATGCGCTGATGCCCAGGTGGGTAGACTATGATCTCTGTGGAGTTCAGCTGGCCAAGTTTAAACATTGTTTTCCCCACCATTTAAAAAAAAAAAAAGGTAGAAGCTGTAAGTGGTTGCAAATGCCTGGCATTTCGGAAGTAGAGGCAGGAGGATGGGGAGTTAAAAGGTTGTCCTTGGCTACTAGTTTACTTAAATTCGTGACACTGTTCCAGAAAGTTCAAGGCCTAGACAACATACTAAGATGGTCTCAAACCAGGCTGAGGGCGCAGGCCTTTAATCCTAGCAGGAAGACGCAGGTGGATCTGAGTTCCAGGATAGCCAGGACTGACTATACAGAGTAACCCTGTTTCAAAAACAAACAAACAAAAAACAACCACTGAATCACACAACAAGAATTATGATACTTCATGGGTGCCAAAACAAAACAAACTCCTTGTTTCCAAAACTGGCTCAGTCATCTACTGCTCATTTTGTTCTATTTAATATAAATCATGATGAAAGTAGAAGCCTCTTTCCTTCTTAGCCAAGGTCTCTGCCACTTATCTACAGCGCCACCACTTGACACTGGGCTTCCCTAACACTGCATGCAGGCCTTGACTTCATTTTATGGCTTAGGTTGGCCTCTGCTCCTTTTCTTGAGACTAAGTATTTATATATCACTTAGCTGGGGAGGGCCTCTAACTTAGAGATCCTGAGCCCTTAGCTTACTATGTTAGAATCAGAGGCACTTTTTAGAAAAAGGTTTTTAAGATTTCTTTTTTTTTTTTTAAAAAAAATTAATGTGCATTTTATGTTTTGCCTTCATGCACCTGTGTGAGGGTGCCAGCGCCCCAAGAACTGAAGTACAGACAGCTGTGAGCTGCCATGTGGATGCTGGGAATTGAACCAGGGTCCTCTGGAAGAGCAGTCAATGGTCTTAACCACTGAGCCATCATCTTTTCAGCTCCTAGAGCTGTTTTCTTAAAGGTGCATGTTTATAGTGTTTTCCTTCAAAACAATAATATACTCTTGGGAGGATGTGGGGGAAATATGTCTGTAAATCTAGCATTCAGGAGGCACAAGCAGCAAGATCTTGAATTCTAGCACAGGCTGGACCATACAGTAAGACCACCTTCTAATGCCCCCATACAAGAAATAAAAAAAATTAAACAAGAAAGTACTCCAAGCAATTCCTGTAAATAGGTCAAGAGTAGAATTTTTTTGTTGTTGTTTTTTGAGACAGGGGATCTTGGTGTATTCCTGGCTGTCCTGGAACTCACTCTATAGGCTGGCCTCAAACTCATATAAAGATCCACCTGCCTCTGCCTACCAAGTGCTGGGATTAAAGGTGCGCGCCACCACTGTCCAGCAAAAGTAGAATCTTAAGGTCTTTAATGAGGGAAATGTGATGCAGTCCACTGGATGATAATGATGCTTTACTATAGAAACAATCCCATATTTCACAAATTCTGCTCTGAGTAGTCTCTGGAAGGAGACACTAACCATCAACCATCTTATTTATTCCGTAGACCAGGCTGGCCTCGAAGGCATGCACCACCACTGCCCAGCTAAAATTTTGCTATTAGAGAAGAAAAAAAAAATCAAACTAAATCTGTGCAGAGATACACCATCAAGACAAAGTTGAGCAGTGAAGGCCTAATAAGGACTGGTCAACAGAATGCAAGGCAGAAGCACAAGCCTATCAACAACACAGCCAAGTGTGCAGTCGTTGGGAACTCAACTCCACACTTGCCCTTACCCCTACAACCAAAGTTTGCAGCCTTTTGCTCAGCCGCAATACAAGAATTATCATCTGTGAGATAAACAGTAACCTGAAAACAAAAATATGTACTCAGAAATATTATTTACACTTAAGACTGAAGCAGGAGGGA